CCACATCCAAAAGAAATAGGACAATAGGATAAACCAAACTGTAGCAAGACTTTTTCCTTTTTTTCCTTTTTTAATCTTGATTAGAATGACTTGCAAACAAGTAGTGAGAAATGGAAACTTGCTACCTCACTAGTAAAAGAGGAGCAGACAGATACAAAAGATAATTACCATATTCTGCTTTTAGCTAGAAAATGAAAAATGTATTTCTATCCCCTTTGCAGACAAGCAGTCTAGTGTGAAATGTTAACAAAAGGAAAGGTATTACAGAAGAGTGCTAGAGAGTGATAGAAAGAAAAAGGCATTTGGTTGAACCTAGGATCAGTTGTCAGAACATTTTCGTCAGTTGTTCCTAATCAAAAAAGAAACATAATGAAATTTTTCTAAAATCTCTTTGGTTCTGAAACAATGCATGAGAAAAGTCAGGGATGGAGAGTTAGTACAAGCTTCCCCAGAAGCCCTATTTTAATCATCTCTGTTCTCTCTGCAAGAGGAGTTTCATCATCTTTCAGCATCTATAGCCCCAGAGCTTTTCTACCACCATGAAAATATATGATACAATTAGACAAAAGGATAAATGCATTTATACAAAAGAATAACTAGAGTCTTGTACACAATGAAGCCCTTCTTGATTTGCTTTGGGTTATGCTGAAAAGGCTTAGTTTAAGGCACAGAATTCTTGCAGCCTCAGGTTTATCTAGATGAAAGGAATATTTTCTGGCTACATGAGCAAATGAGTACCTAGTGATCCACCCTAATTTAGGTTATGTAAAACTTAGTGGGTGTACAGATGTGCCTTCTGAAGGCAATGCCTGGATTGCACTCGCAATGGTTGGCCTGGCTGCCAGCGCTCTTCTCCCTCCCACGCACCCATTCTAGTAAAGCTCTGTTGAAGAAAAATTACTTCATGTCACAGGGTGTGACCATATAAATGCTGTGCCATGATCTAAGGTGCCTCAAGCAACCATGGCATTCATCCAGCTGTAGTCAAAATGTATTCATTTCAGGCATTTTTTCTGGTGTCATCAACACCAAAACTGTGTTTGCAAATATGGTGCCGTGTTTAATGTGGAAAAGAATGTGAACATAAAATTTTGAAACAGATGGGAGACTAGTAAAGGGCTGTGTTACAGAGAGCAACCATTGTGCTGGAGGTGCCTAAGCAGGCTCTAAGGGAACAGGCTGGCTTGTTCAGGGAAGAGCAGTGGCATGCACAAACACCTAAACAAGCCCTGACCAGCCCAGCCCCGGAAACAGCAGCAGTGTAGATATGAAACCTGAGCTGTGTTTTGGGCGGCAGCAAGGGCAGGGCTGCTCTGAAGGGGACAGTGAGCCAGGGGCTGAGGGTGACAGGCAGGCAGAGGGAACAACGTCCTGATAAGGGGCATGCCCCACAATACTCAAAAAACACAAGCAAGGCAGGTCAACAGTTCAGATCACCAGTCAAGGCTGAGGTCAAACAGGAAAGCCAAGCCCATAGGTCAGGATCAGCAAGGGTACATGGCCAGATGCAGCTGTGGCTGCAGCATAGCTCAGGCAAGGACCAAGCACAAGAAATGCAGTTTAAATGCATCTCCTAAATGACGGTGGTAGTGTGGGAGGCACCTGGATTCTTCCAGCTTTCTGCTGAATGGTTGCAAGGCCAGCAGGCATTGAGGCCCAGTGCTGCTGGAGGCCTGAAATGCATCTAGGACAGATGTCTGCATTATCTAATTAAGCAGCCAAATCTCCAGAAGAGAGGGGAATGCAGTGAGGGCACTGATAGTATCCTACCTGGCTTGGCTACAAAGTGGTACCAGGCTGTTTTAACAGTGGAATTGCAGCACCTACTGTAGTGGGCTTGAAGTAAAAAAATTGGATTCCGTTCCTTGCTCCACTGAGTGACGGAGTAAGATCCCAAAGGAGAAAAAGCACCAGCTATGTTGTTTTCTTTGCCATGCCAGAGACTGCTGTCTTTCATTCAGAGTCCTATTAGCTGCAGTTTTGTGACTTAATCCTAAATAATGCAATCCCTATCAGATTATTGTTTGAAAAAAAAATCCCAATAATATTGACTCCTATACTGCAGTCCTTGCTGCTCAGGATTGCTGGTAGTGCCTCCACTCCAGCATGTGTCAAGCAAGAGCTGGTGTGTGCTGGGTACCTGCAGAGGAGGTACCTGGCAAGGACATAGCACGTTTTAGTGGAACTAAGAGAGTTACTTTTGGGAGAGGAATAGTTGCCACTAAAGGGCAAAGTTCCAGTGGCTGCATTTCCCATTTTACATTGTTTTGGCAGAGCATTGCCTGACATACCAAGTACATGTTACAGACCTTCTGGAACAATCTTTCAGAAAACCAGTAAGATAGTTTGACATTACTTAGAAGATCTGGATTGCACTGGAAGCCAGCAACCAGTGAGAAATTTACTCTTTTGTGACTCAGTTCTCACTCTAAACAAGGGAACTTGTGCCTTTATGAAAGTGTTTTGATCTTCCCACGATAGGCACTGTATCATTTCTCCAATTCTGTGTTAAATAATGACCTCTGGAAATAGACAACAGGGCAAGAAAAAATACATCAAACAGTCAGAAGCACGGCAAGTCCCAGATACCTACCACAATTACTCATACTAGATGGAAGAAAACCAAACCAGAACTGGTGACCATGACACTGCAGCTGATCCTCCATCCATGCAGCGCTGTTCACTGCAAAGCTTTCAGAGATCTTGCCTTTTCCTTGTTGCACAAGTCAACATCACTTCTTTCCATGTTTCAGGCTAATCTCTCTCAGGATTACCACATCCATGTAATTCACTAGCACACACTGCACCCCTTGCTGCCTTTGTCATACACCTTTGGAAGCCTAAGTTTCACATACCAATGAACCCCTTCCTTCCTTCTTCACTGTTTTTTCTTTTCTTCAAAGATTAGGCATCACTGCTGGGGATTTTTATCTGTATAAATGATATGGAGAAAATGTTGATTATTTCAACTTTTATTTTCCAGGAGTGGTTAATTTGCTATTTCTGCTGAGGGATTTGATGTATGGATTTGCAGGTGGCTTTTAAAAAAATATTCTCTGAATCAGAAATTACTGTTTGTATAGAAGACAGTATGTGATGACAATTTCTGGTATTCAGAAAATAGTAGACCTAATTTTACACATTTTTAAGAATGCTCATCTACAGCATAGTTGGAGTATCAAGTATCTGGGTCTAGCTCTGGGCTCTATTACTTCTTTCTCATACGTCTGGAGGAAGAAATCCCAAGCTTGTACAAAGTTGAACTTCCCTTCAACTTCTAGTCCCGAGCCTTTTACTGAGAATTTGTGTAAGTGAATTACTAAGGTCACTTAGATGACACCTAGAGTCACTGTTCTCAGAAAGCATGACTGGTAAATAGGTAACAAGCAGCTTTATACTTTTCTAACTATATAGAAGCAACTGTTTCCATGAACAGGGAGATGAATGGAAATTAACAACCACTGTAGACAGCACCATACTTCCAGGGGAAATCTCATCTTACGTGGTTCTGAACTGGCACCCCACCAACTGTGGTTTTGTTTTTGAATATCAAAAAATGTAACAACATAGATGTAGGCATAGATTATTATTTTTTTTATTGCTTTTGTTAAAAAGTCAGTGTATGAACTATGGCACTATGCTGTAAAAATGCAACATTACTGAGTGATCTAACAGTATGAGGTCCATTATGACAAGATTTTAAACATGAAGCATAAGCTTCACTGTGGATTTCCAAATTTTAAAAAAACAAGTTTAAGAGGTAAATGGATTAATAATAACTGATCTATGTGGAATTTCAATACTAAGTGAATACAAAGTAGACTTGCAAAAACCAAACATATAAAAATCATGTGGGTGAACCTCCACTATAACAAAACACCAGTGCCTATGAACTCAGTGCTTAGCAACTGAAAAAGAACTATGGCAATATTCCTAATTCTGAAGTAAACCCAAACAATAGCATATCCATGGGTATTATTGCACAGTGTTGCTTTAACTGGCTTGCAAACTATTTTTTGCATTAAGAAAAGTGAGACTTACTTTTTAAAATATGTAATCTTATTTGAAAAATGCATTGCAAAATAATGGTGTCCTAATTAGGACTTCTATACCCTTTATGAAACAGTTTAAGCATATCTTGCACATCATGAAGCTCTTGAAATGACTCCACTTCTTCAGAAAGTCTGATTTCTCAGAGAATGGTGGGCATAGAGTAGCAAATAAAGGGGAAAAAATTACAGTGGACATTACTTTCCCAGCAAAAAAGATTTCTTGCATCACACAGCAGATCAGAAATAAATAAGATAAAATTTGAGGAGTCTGAATAGAAATCCTTGAATGACACTTCAAGAGTCACAGGCTTCACCAAATTAATGTCAGTATATTTTGTTAAGAATAATGCAGTTACTATATACAGTATGTTTATTAGATAATGCTAACTAACAATGCACTAAATTAATGGTAGTTAAACAAGAAATATACTAAACTGACATACTTAAAAAAAAGGAAGGCAACCCCCAGTTATGCATAGTTACATAAGATAATGTCCAGCTTCCTGGAATTCAATGGATTGACACCTTCAAGCATCAGGAAGCAGTTTTCTGAGGTGTAAACAACATAATTAACAGAACCCAGCCAAGCTGTAGGGGATTTACACCAGCAAAAATTTCAAGTCCAATCACAAATCACCTGCAAATGTTACCACTGCATAGCTGCAATGGGGCAGTCATCCATTCAAAGGTTTTACACTGACATATTTCTTCAAAAGACCTTCTAAAGGATGTGCTATTTAACTTGGTTGTGATCCAGATACAAACAAAAATGTGACAAACCCAAAGCACTTAGGTCTAGAAGCACTTATTGAAAAATCCATACCATATTTACAGTGTATTATGTATGACTGCACACACTAGTAAGTTTCTCCTGTTTACTATTTCTTATGTGGCATCTTATTCTTCATAGTATTTCTACATGCTAAGAAGAGAAGAGTCTTTCTCCAGGAAACCAGCTTCTCTGATATGGAAAGCCACCATGCCCATATCTTGCTTTGCCACAGTAAGGTGTGTTCAATGAACACAACAACGTCAAATCCCCACGGATCATGACAAAATGACTCGGTTCCTCCCTTTGTTTCTTGCTCAGCTTCTCTGCTCCCTTACTACTGTGCAGGTCAGTCAGCATCCAGTTCTTGTCTAGTAAGAAGAGGCTTCCCATCTGTATCACCCATCTTTTTTTGCATCTCTTCCACAGCTTTCAGCAGAGCTGCTCGCTCCTGCTCAAGTGTGAGAATGGACTGCTTCAGTTTGCTTTCATTGGCCAGTAAAACCTCTACTGTAGCTTCAAGGTTTTGGATTTTTCCATTAGCCACCTAGCAAAGTAAAAATATAGGAGGGGAGAAAGGATGGGAAGGGAAAAAAAGGTAAATACATTAATGACTGAAACCATCTTTAAACTATTTTTTGAGATACATGAATACATATAAAATACTTAAGAAATTATGAAAAACTAAACTCAGAATATAAAGCAAATCAATGAAATTATAAAGTTACCAAATCTGCAACTTTTATACCAAAGAACTGCAGGTTGAGATAAGCATCTGTAAGGGTCAGATGGGAGATATTTTTGGCCAGCCACACTTGTTGCTTTGCAAAACAAAGACATTTGATTATGTTAGCTGCATCCTCATTTCATGTCAACACTGAGTCCAATGAATACCAGGTTTGAAGGCAAAGAAAAAGAGGATTTAGAGCAACGTGCAAATGGAAAACACATTGTGAAAAATTTCAAAAATTACAAAGACCAGCTAAACTACCTCTGAAAAAACTGCAGACTATATATATTGGAAATTATTATTTTACATAATGTTTAAACAATCTGGTGTCAGCTAAAAAATTGTAATAGAAAGTATGTCTTTATAGACAATGTATCCTTTCTCTAATGTATCCCTAAATTGTGACATTGCAATTTAGTTTACCCATTTTTGGCAGAGTAATAAAGCAGTGACTGAAAATATAAAAAATAAGTCGAAAAAGCACTTTATTTTTAGTTATCTTTTACTGATATGATTTTAATTACAAGAGAAGAGGCAGTGTGTTGAATCAACTTTTCACTAACTAAAAGAATATGCTCTAACCACCCCTCTCTCAGAATTTCTTCTGCATGTAAACTTTGAGGGCTAAACTAAATAAAACTTTTAAGTAGCTACATTTTAAATTCAGTAGATTGAACACCAATCCCTCCTGTGATGTGGTGTAGGACAGTTTCTTCTGAAAACGTGTATAAATTAGAAAATTAGAATGTTAATCATATGAAATATAAATTGTACCTGCAGTTCTTCCAGGAGATCAAAGTTTTGTTTGCGCAAGCTGCTGTTTGCCTTCTCTAATTTATCCAGTCTCTGATTGTCATTTAAAGATGAATCTATAAGCTCATCCTGAAGCACATGATATTCAACTTCATAAGCTTGCAACTGTTTGGCAATATCCATTTCAAATACCTGTTGCATATAAAAATATTATTACGCTCTGTGCAGATCAAAAATATTGCTCTTTCAAGGCTTTAAAATCTATTGATCTAGATCTAGACTCAGATATTTAATCAACACATACAAAAAAAAAAAGGACTTTTTTTTGGTATTCACATTTTTTATTGTGGAAATGGCAAGCCTGAGGCAGTAGAGTGCAATATTCTACTGTGCAAGTAGATCCAATTGGCACTGGATCTACTTAGTACCTTTGCTACTGATTTGCTGCCTGACTTCAGTAAAACTACTTACACTAAATGTTTCAAGGGCGTGGACTTTGCAAGGTATTCTCCTTTCCAAATTTAATACATCTCAGTTTGGCATAAACCCTTCTAGTCATACCCAGAATTAGTTGTTAGTTCAGAAAAAATGTGGCTTAAATTCACCTGCCACATGTACAAATGTAAGGCTAAGTAAAATAAAAGCTTTAAATAAAAAACAGTAGACTTTGCTATCTTTATTTATTATTCTATAGTATTTTTACAGACTGGAAGAAAATTAAATTATCTATCCTTACACTACCACACTTAACAAAAACATTATGTAACATCAAAATAGATTTCTATTTTTGTTAACTATAAATCATTGAGATGAATGCTTGGTCTTACCCATTCAGAAAAACTTTTATTTTAAAAGCAGATAAATTAATTGAGATGCAGAGTGACTCAAAGGAAAAAACTTACTATTTTCTTTTCTTAGGTTTTGGCAAGCATCAGCCTTCTAATTATTCATAACTATGACTTCAATTTCCTCTAGAAGCAGTGAAGAAGGCAGTAAATTAAAAGGACAAGTGTGCCAATCACAGAACATAGAAGAAATAAAAGTTGATTTTAAAATGTATTTGAAAAATAGCCCAAGAAGGGAAATTCCAGGGTCATTCTTTATTTTTAAACTTCTTGTACTTTATTCATTTTGAAAATGAGTCAAATGTCAAATCCCACCTTAAATACCTGTTAAAAGTAAAAGGAACACTTGCCTATTTCATTTATCTGCTCTTTCTACAAAACTTTAACTGTTGCTTAAAGAAAAAATCAGTTTATGAAATGTTTCTGTCACATGTCAAATAAAAAATTATCTCATAGGTAAATAGCAGCAGAAACATATACTGAGCATATAAGCAAGAAGGCTGAAATACAATTTTAATTTGAGTTTTTTGTTATGTGTTGATTACACACAGGTAATTTTCATTTTCTGTGAATCTGAGCATCTCTGGAGATGGGCATGTCTGCACACGCTGCCGAAATTTCAGTAACACAAGCAGTGCAATTCAGCAGGGCAGAATGTTAGTTCCTCTCATGACCTGTGCCACTTCTAGCCTCTGTGCTCCTGAGGAGGGAGGGAAATCCCTACTGTCATAACCAAAGCATCAAGTCTGAAAGAAGGGAAGCATGAGGCAATAAAAAGTTTGATTTGAAATCTAGCTAACTGAAGGCACGTTAGGGCATGTAACCACAGGCCATGCTGCAGAAGGATGAGGAGCATGGGGATTAATCCAGGAGCTGTATATGGACTGTGGGCTGGTCAAAGAGCTGCTCTCTTCAGAGTCAGCCCTGATCAAAGCAGGGAACTTGTCCTTCTACTCACTTCTACCTACCCACTTCCAACTTAGAGCTGTCAGGGCTGCCTAAACAGAGCATCCCTCCCTCCTGCAGCTCAAAGCACACGGTTTTCTGCAAGTCACCTAAGCACTGCAAGTCTTTCAGCCTGGCAGTAACATAAAACCCCCTCTGCCCCTTGGAAATTCCTTGCTTTCCTTTCTCTTGCACAGAGTTTCTAGCTCTCATGTCCTTCCTTTGACAGTGAGCACTAGGAGTCATTTTTCTGGCCCTAATGCAAGCTGTGTCCCCCAGAAGCTTTGCTGCCAGAACTCAGAGGGAGCCCCTCACCAGCCCTCTGCAGAGCACTGTGCTGCTGCTGCTTTCTTTATCAACCCACAGGCTTTGATCTCCAGCAGCCCTTGGGGTTTGTCTGCAGTTCTGCACAGTACAGCCCCTATGTTCTGCACCACAAAAGGCCTTCAGAAAAAGTGGCTAAAGCTCATCTTCTCTTTGCCTGCTGCAGTTTATATGTCAAATGTAAAAAACACTTAGGGTTTTTAAATAGGCAAGCCTTAATAGAAATAATTTCTGATTTTTTCATATTCCATCATTATCATCTGGAGTATTCTGCTAACTTAGCAATGTTGCATCACTTTCCTTTTCTGCTGTTTAAAAGAATTGTATCAAGGATTCCAAGTTTTGCTGTCTAGAATCACTACTCACTGCAACAGTCTGCACTGCTCCAGGTACTCCTGACAGAATTACAAAGGTGCTGTTGTTGCATACTGGGCCAGCACCATAAGTCAGTAGAGACAGAGTTGATATGGGGAGGTGTCTAATTTCATTAAGTAAGGCTCTTGTAAGTAAATTTTTGTTTACTTACATGTATGTAAGTAAACAAAATGTATGTACTTATGAACTTGGAATATGTACTTGTATGTACATACATACAACTTTCATATGTACTTATGAAACTTGGAAGGCAAGTTTCTTTGGTGGGAAAAAAATAATTTTAACTAAAGGCTTCAAAAAGTGACAATAACCAATGGTTACAATACCATATAAAGCCACTAAGTCATCTTAGTTTACAAGTCATCTGCTCCCAAAAGTTTTCAACATCTTCCAAACTACAAGGGAGTTCTCAGCTTGAAGCAGTAGCTGTTCTGGATTTTCTGTCAAGAACTTAACAAGAACATTCCTTTGCATACCTCTCATTTGTTCAGTTTATTTCATACCTGACTAATGGTCTTTTCCATCTGTACCAAACCCAAGTTGGGGAGAGTGCTTTTAATAAAATCAACAATAGTTTCTAGATTCTCATGCTGCAGAATCAGGGGCTTGTGGCTTCCCAAAAGGCTTAAAGCCACTTTAAATATAGCCTCTGATCCTTGAAGAAAGAGCATATCTGTGAAAACAAGGAAAAAACAGGTTACATCAAGCAAGCACATATTTTGACGAGAATATCAAAACAATAAATTGTCAAAGGACAACAACTTCTGATAGGAGTGACCTGGAGGTTAGATACACTGTGCTGAACATGTGCTTTTGGCTATGGCTTTCGGAGTTTTATAAGATCAAGATTATTACTGTGAATAGCACACTTGACTAACACAATCACTTACTAAGTTGTTTAGTGTGTTTTCACCAAAAAAAAGCAATTCAAGTTTAAGCTAAGTCTACAACAAACTAAGTAGTCAAGTTTATCTATGTTGCCACTTTTTGTGCATGTTATAGTTTAGTGGGCTATTTTCATGTTTGTAGGAATATAAATTTGACTAGAAATCCAATCTAAATGCTCTTTAAAAATCATAACACAACAGAGAAAAAACCTATACCTGAAGGCACAACTGAAGATCTGAAATTTGGTTTTTCTCTCATGTGGTGGAAAAAGCCACAAAACCACAATAGAGCATTTAGCATAGGAGGCTAAATGCACACTTTCCAGTAGCCTCAAGTTTCAAATGCATGTGTTTATTTTTAGTATGCATCTCAACCACTTCTGTTAATATGCTAATAACAATATTAATAAATACCCTGAAATCTTAGCCACACAGCTTAGGTGTAAATATTGCAGGTGGCCCTGCAATGACAGCACCTGGCATACCAAGCACACTGAAACCACCATATACAGTGACCTTTCAATGGAATGTCCTTTCCTTTCTTTTCTTTTCCAAAGTGCCTATTTATTTATAGAGTAAAGAAATAGAAGTCTGCAATAAAGGCATCAGACAAGAAAGCATTGCCCTGCACTTGACTTTCCTGTTACCGTCAGAATTTGCTCCTAGTTTCACTGAAGCACGTGCCTTGCTGCTGTGGGTTTTTTATCCTATTTCCTAAATATAAATTTACTTTGAAAGGGCTTCTCTCTTCAAAGAGATAGAAAAAAAACCACTATGCTGTAAGGGAAACAACTACTAGCAAAACTACAGTTATCTCTGATGTAGTGAAGAACATATGAAAGTACTGGCTAATAGTCTTTCTTAGTAAAACCAAACTCTATTTCCAAATTTGTATCAGAATGAAATTCCCCTACTGCATTCTTGAGCTTGCAGTGTTGAAGCCATAATTCATTTCACTCTCTCTCTCCAAGAAAGAAAAGCACAAGTAAAAACTAACCACAAATCACACTTTCTTGCCATTTGTCCTAAAATGTGTGTAACATTTTTCAGCTCTGTGTTGAGCTGAATGTGAATTCCAGTGGCAGAAATTATTAAAAAGTGGTAACAGAGAAAGCATCTGCCTCAATTCTCTTTTGAAACTCAAAAGTGTGGGAAAATGATTCATAGGGAAAGCTCTTAAAAGTATTAGGACAGGAAATACTGAAGAACACCTAGAAACACAAAGTGAAAAAAGCAGAGCTAAAAAGAATGTGTTTTTATGATTCAGCACCTGCCCCATAATGACATGCAGATTAACTCAAGGTGACCTGAAAGTTGTTAATGAATGTCTGTATGACTGAGCTGGTAATACACAGCTGAGGCTGAAATCCCTCTCTCATTTAAAACACCAAGTACTTAACAAAGACCCGTTTGTTATCCACTCCCCATGCTTCATATTAAGTAGGCTCCCAGCCAACAACAACTACACAGTGAAGGTACCCAAATTAATGTCAGCATGAGTGGCAGTCTACAGGATTTAAAAAAAAAAAAAAAAAGTTTTATCTACAATCTTGAAACAAAATAAACACTTCTATCAAATCTCCTCTATTAGTAAGTAAGCAGAGGTACTAAAGAATGCATCTTTTATAGCCATGTACTTTCATCAGCTGCTGCTCAGGAGAAGCATTGAAAGTTTGGACAGATAAATGAAACCTTAAATGGAGTTTTGCTATTTGATTCATAAAACAGTCTAACCCACTTCTTTTACATATTGCTTGTTAGATACCTGCAAAAAGCACACTCTGTGGATATCCAAAGGAATGGTCTGTAACAATTATATAATTATATAATTATATAGGAGTGGGCTCGTTTCAAATACTAGGGGTTCAGAGATACCCTGTTAGAAAATGCCAGTGCAATCTCATGTTAGTAACCTATAAATCAGTTACTTCAGCATCAACATGCTTTCCTTCCAAGGATTCTAATAAGTGAGCAATGAAAATCTGTATATGTATGTTTTGCAAAAGTGTGTGAAGACATAGGTCAAAAATTACTCATTTTAACTTACCATGTTGCTTCTGACAGCCACGGCCAGAGTGACAGATCTAACCTTTTTTGTTTAAAGTTGTGTTTCAGAGTCTTTATGGATGAGGTTAAGACTTTCTAATGTAAGAGAATGTCCAATGTTCCTAACCTACATAGCTCCAGTAAATACTGTTTTAAGAAAATTACTAAATAAAAAGGAAATACTGAATTTAAGGAAAATACTAAATACAAAACTGCAAATATTGTTCACATTGAACTTTCTCTCTAAAGAACATCAGAATTTTTAGGAGGCAACAGTTTCTATCACACACACTTTTCTCTTCTTGACCTAAAATCAGATGTGTGAAGATCATGTATCTGTGCCTTGTATTCTAATGCAAAGTCTTTGTTTTCTAAAGCCCTACAATCCTTCAGTGACAAAGAAAATACTAATCTGTGTTTATAGGCAGAAATCCAAATATAATGGATGCACAAGGCACTTTTATAACCTCACTGCAGTCAACTGCCCTATTCACACGCTTCTTACCATGTACACTACTATGAAAGATTAAGAATAACAAAAAGATGAGCTGGTTATAAACTCAGTATATGACACTTGCATACAGCACTTAATTTGATTCCTACAGATTATTACTGTCAGCTACACATCTGTTGATGAACACTAATCTGCTTTGCACTCTTCAGGAAAAAACCATGCTGTTTTCCCTGGAGTTTGGATGCTAATCATGGGACATACAGTTTTACTCTATACAGCATCTTTTTCACTGTGAGTTTTTCTAGCATTACTTTTAGCATGTTCTTAAACAGAAACTAGACAGGATTCTTGTTGGTTCTTGAACTCTATATTCCTATTTGTGGTAGGCAGGACCATATTGTTTTTAAGTCAGGGAAGTGTAAATATTAATCTGCTGATGAAGAATTTCTTAATTGTATCTTTTAAATGACTAAGGAAAATGAAACTGGCTTCTCACTAGAAGAGAAGAACTGGGGAGAAAGCTCCAATCCATCCTATTAATTATGGACAATCCATTACCACGTAATGAAGTGGAAAAACAAACTGAAAAGGAAACACAGCATCTTCTCAGACACCAAACAATCTATGAAATATACATCCAGAAGATATAAAGGTAAATTCCTAACTAGAATTTAATTTAAAAAGAAATCTTCTGCAGATACTAAAAATAGGCAACAGAAATGACTTTAGAAACTAAATCCCAGATGATTCCAAACATTTTTGGAACTAAAACTGTCAGGGCAAGAAACACTAGTTTAACTGTCTTGTATTTCTGCAGAGTAAATCCACGATTACACTGCAAGGGCCATCTCTGTGTGTGTTTTAAAACAACTCTCAAGCTAATTTTCTGCTGACACTGCTGGAAATTATGATAATGGAGTAAATGGATATATTTCTCAGATTATGCCTTTGTTACATCTCTTTTAAGCTTGAAAATAACTAATTGTTGGTGTTGAAGTGTCATTGTCATAATTTTGCCTTCATGGTATCACATTTTACGTCCTCTCTAAAAGTGGTTACAAGGTGGGAAAAGGTAACAATGAGGATGAAAAGACATTAGGGACTGTCATTTACTTTTGTTCCCTCTCTTTCACTTTTACTGACATACTGCACACTCCATAGGATGACTTCTGTTGTTTTTCTTCTGTTCATAGCAAGCTAAGTATTTCTCCTGGGTGTCTGAAACTGCTTGGATAGTAATGCTGCTCCTAATACCAAGATTCCACATGTAAGACTTCAGAAAGAACAGAGAGAAGTTTTATGAAGAATTACCAAATACTCTGGACACAAATCCAAGGGGAAACTGGGAGGCAAACATGGTGAGAAACCAGGGAGCAGCATAGAGGCTGGGGCCAATCTCATGGGCCTCTAGATGGTTATAGAGATCTCGATGGTAGTCATGAAGAAGTCGAGACAATTGGTACATCTGGATCTGCATGGAATAAGAACAAGAGACTCAACATCAATGTGTTTTAACATTCATAATAGCAAAATCCATGCTTCATACTTATCAGAAACAGAGAAAGGTATTTGTCAATTGATGTTTGGATGAAAATGTGTGGAAACAAGAAATACCTGGAAGCTAATTAAAAGACAGAGGATGGGTCACCTGTGAACCTACAGCAGGCTCATTTGCAGGGTCATTTGAGCACAACAGAAGTCTTCTTATTTATGGTTTCCATAGTTTCCCCAAAAGTATTTTGATTTGAAAATCATGCATTTAAGATGATGTATTCTTTTCCTGGATTATCACGCTCTATTTTTAAGAACTCAATTTAAGTTCAGGTTTTGGCAACGCTAGCTGTATTGCATTTTTATTTAACCTTAGCATCCTTTACTTAAAAAAAAAAAAATTATACCTGCAAAATTGTCATGTCAGGACGATATTGTTTTCTCAGGCCCATGTCAAACATAAGAAACTTCAGCATTTTAAAAGCATCTTCTTCACTCATATGAAGTAGTAGAACTCCTGCTACAAAACTAAGGCCCTGGCAATATCCTACTTCCTGGTCCAGAAGTGAATAGGCCTTCAAAATGTTGTAGAGTGACAGCTGCCCAGCTCCCAGCTGTGCTGAGAAATACGGATGCGTTGGAAATGTGCGCCCTGTGAAAAGAGCTGAAGTTAGTGACTGAAACTAAAAAACAAACAACAAAACTCCCCAAACCGTTGTCAAATGTCATCAAATAAAACAGTCTTTCAAAAATGTAGATTCTTTTGAGAAGTAGATTTTGAGTCAAGCCACAGGAAGACCATAAGGAAATTAACAATACAGAACAATTGACTCATATTCTACCACTGTTTTGTTACAGTTATTGCAAAGTTAATTTAGAAACTGTCAGCGGGTGGGGAAAACTTGTTGTTTGGAATAGCTGAATACCTGATTTTTAAGACTGGCCCCTGAACATTTTATTAAAGGATAATAGACTACTATAAGTTGTCCCAATAAGGACAACTATTAAGATCGAAGCACAGGCTTAGAACATCTGATCTATGATTTGAGGCCCCTTCACTTTTTCTTTCTGTCTTTTTCATGTAGACATGTCTTTTGTTACAGCCCTCCTTGTCTTGTCCCTCGCAGTCTTCATTTGCCTTTTTTTTTCCCTGCAGCCTGTACAATACCAAGAATTGAGTACCTGTATATAAGCTATGACATATGCTATACACATATTATGTGAGAGCACAGCTAATCAAGGCAGCCAACAGACACAGCATTTTGTGCAGCCATTTCTGGGCTTTGTTTCCTTGAGCTTTGAGCACACAGAGACTATGTCCAGGATCAGCAGGGGACTCCTGGAAGTGTGAGGGTACTGCTGCTGGCTGGTAAGGCTAATGCTAACCAACCCCTGTCAGTTGCTCTTGATGAGAGGGTGCCTGGAGCCTTTGTTCCATCTGATCCCTTATAAGGGAGGGTCACTAATGACCTGTTACCATTCAGAGGGACCCCAACAGGCTGGCCAAATGAGCTGCCAGGAACTTTTATAAAGTTCACCAAAGTCAAGTTAAAAATTCCTGCACTTGCAGAGAACAAACCCATGCACCAGTATTTTCCACCCATTTGGATAGCAGCTTTGCAGAAAAGGACCTGACAGTTCTGGTGGTCACCAGGTCAAACAAGAGCCAGCAAAGAAGGCCGATAGTATCCTGGGATGTACTAGGAGTGTTGCCAACAGCTGGAGGCAGCTGATCCTTCCTCTCTACTCAGCACTGGTGAGGCCACATCTGGAGTGCTGTGCCCAATTCTCTGTTCTCACTACAAAAGAGATACAGCCATACTGGAGAGAATCCAGCAAAGGGCCACTAGGATAACAGAGGGACTAGAGCATCTCTTCTATGAAGAGAGGTTGAGAGAACTGGGACTGTTCAGCCCAGAGAAGGAAAGGCTCAAGAGGATGTTACCAGTGTGCACAAATACCCAGTGGAAGGGAATGAAGAAGGAGGAACCAGGCTCTTCCCAGTAGTGCTCACAGACAGAACAAGAGGCAATAGGTACATATTGAAAAACAGGAAATTCCACTTTTTTTTTTTTTTTTTTTAAGGGTGGATAGACACTGGCACAGGTTGCCCAAAGAGGCTGTGAAGTCTCCATCTATGGACATATTCAAAGTCTGAGCAAACATGATCCTAGGCAGCAAATTTTTCACTTTTGGGAAAAATCCTCCCCCTATCAAACTTCCTCTGTGAAATACCTCAACAGAGGAGAAATCTGAATACCTCTTTTTTTCTAGTATTAAGTGGAGCTTATTCTAGTTGCCCACTTGTTAAATACCTCCCCACCCTTTAGCTCCTGGAATGTTGCTGTGCTAGCAGATAATATCAGAACTCCTGTTTCAAGACAAACCCCGGGGCAGAGTCCTTGTGCCATCTGGTAACTACTCTAGCCTGTCACATGGGACACGGCATTCAGTTCTGAGTAGGTCTCCCTGGCCAAGGTGTGAGAGTTGAATGTTACAGAATAAGTATTTCTAGCTTTAAAATGAGAAGGAGCTTGCATTCCTTTGCTTGAAGGACAAGTTACTACAGCACCGTCGAAAGGCAGACCTGCACTGTCTCATTCAGGCAGCAAAGCTTGTTTAATATTAAGTCACAAAAAAGGGTTACAAGCTCAGCAAGAATAAAAACACTAAGAAGTTCTAAAAACCTGTATATGAAGGAGAAGAACTGCTAACCTCACAAGCTGATGTGCTTCTGAGTGCTCTGATGTTGGCTTAACTGAGAATTTTAGCCTTTATTTTGGAGCAAACATCTCTGGCCCTGCCAAAAAAGAGACTAAATGAATGTGATACTGCTGAGCCCCAGAATGTGAAAGTAAGCACCTAGTACTTTTAAAAATATAATAAAACAAAACCTATTTTTCTACCTTGTTCAACAAATACCCAGTGGTGGATGATTTCCTACACTGATAGCACTGTGACATGTAAATTGGGCCAGCAAAGCAGCTGCTATACCTTAACTCTGCATCCATATGCACACTCCTGGCCTCAGGAAGCATTATTTACATTTGAGTATGCATCAATTCAACTAAGTGTGAGCAATATTATTACAGGTTTGGCTCACACTCTGTTAACAAGACCTGTTTAGCCTAATTGGAGAAAGGTTGTAAAGTATTGCAACCACTATATTGTGAGAACAATTTTTTTTCTTTCAAGGTGTATGAGTGCATGCTCTCAGAAGGATTCTTAAAGATTTAAGAGAAAATGCTTCTGGTAGCCTGAAGGAACACAAGTCAGAACATGCAAGTCCGTTCTAGCTACCTATCCAGTTATGCTGTCTGTTACTGTGCAGCACAGCAGTTTTTCAATGTGAATCACTAGGAAGTCTTCAGCTTTCTAATTCACCTTATGGTTATGACAGGGCTCAATCCCTTTTTCAGCTAATGGGCTGGCAAATAGCACCCTGGCAGAAACAGCACCTTCCATGAAAACCACCATGAAGTTACCAATTTGCCAACACATGCAGTCATTTGTTTCTACAAGAAGAGCACATGGCTAAGATGAGATGTATTTGTGGGCAGAACCAGGTAGAAAATATGAACAGCTTGCTGAGCCAGTAAGCCCCAGTCTGCTACTTGGGACAACCAAGCTCAGACTGACTGTGCTCCCTACTGTCCAGGAGTTAATCCAGCACCATCCCTTTGCTAAGGTGTTCAATTCATTTACTCAGCACAAAACTGTTCACCTCTTACTGAACCGCTTGAGTGTCCCACCCTTCACTGCCAGGGCTATCAACACCAGATATGCTGGACCAGTATGGCTGCATGTAAGTATCTCTCTCAAACACAAAAGATTGTTGTCTAGCACTGCTCAGTCCAGGGGACTGACTGCCTAGATTGGTGTGCAAAGTCTGAAGTGAGACTATTTACACACACTACCACTGCCCATTCCCAGCTGGCATTAAAGCTCCTTGGACTGTTACTTTCCCAGTGCCAAGTCAAAACCAGGCAGGTCTGCCAAGTAGGGGAAAGTGAAGGTGACACCCACCCCCACCCTCTCCCACCTCTGGTCACACCACCTTCTGCAAAAACACACCTCTCCTTCACATTCCTGTGTATTTTCTATGCACTGCTTTGGTATTTTGACTTACTTTACCAAGTGTTGCAAAAAAGGATAAAATAGCCTCTTTATCATCTAAAGCTTAGGTCACCATTTAAACTTGACAAATCTCACAATTTAGCACCCACTGAAGACAGTCAGCACATTGAGTTTTTAATAAAATAATAAACGGGGGCTCCCAGACAGCTTTGCTAAGGTAATCCTTCCTCATCAGGCACAGAAACCCCTTTCTTGGTAGATCCACCTGCAGTGAAAAATGCTTAAATACTGTTTGAGTAGTTATAAAGAGCAGAATTATGATGGAATAATTTTGTACTATTTCTTTACAGAAAAGATGTAAGAGAAAACAATGCAATGGGTATTAATCACTCAGATCAGTCCAAGCACAACTTTTCCCGTAAGTTTTTATCATGATATTTGGTTACTTGCAGTGCATAATTTCCTTTGATGGAGTTTTTAACTAAAAATTCATTTAATCAAATTCAGTGATAATAGACTTCTTAAACTGACCCACACATCTCCTCAGAACCAAAGAGTCAGTGCTATGCTCTGGAAGACATTGATTTTTTGCCTTTATTAGGGAAGAGCATAATGAATACTGAGTTCAGTGTGGGAGTATCCCACACACAAGAGCTGTGATCCTCTTGGAAAAACATCAGCTCCTGGTGGTTTCTCACACCACATTAAAAGCAGTTCTTACCAACAACCTACTATTAAATAGTGAAAGGCATAAAATACTTCTTCAAGTATTTTACAGAGACTATCAACTCTTGTTTTAATTTCAGACCACTGCTGTACTTACCTAGGTCAATAAGAATTGCATGCTGTTGGGAAGTTAGTTGTTTTAGGAGTTCTTTATAAGGTGTCTCCTTTGGTTGTTGTTTACTTGCAAACTGATGTTTAAGATGGTATTGCTCAGCTAGAAACTTCCAGATCTCCCCACGGTGGTGACGTGGTACTCCTGAGCAGAGAAAGCAATTAAACCAGTAATTTGTACTCCTGCTGAGGGCTCTGCTATAGCTGAGCTAACAGGAGTGAGGAACTGAAGATGCCTATCTGCTACACAGGCAGACAGATCCCTACCGGCTACCTCCAGTGGACCATAGAAGTAGATTAAATTACAGTGCTTTTACTTTCTCAACCAACAAAAGACATCAGCACCTTAACAGGAGTGATTTAAAGCAGAAAGAAATACAGTGAACTGTCTAAGGTTAATGCTTACATCCAGTCTGAGAAGCACTAGAAGAGGCATCAAGAATTGCAATACTTGTCTGAATATGCTTATCTCAAATTTTTCTGTGTAAAGTACACAATAAAGCACTGCAATAGAACTAATGCACACTTTTCACTACTATAGCATAGACCCTGATGTTATAAGTACATTTTAGGAAGGTGGGATGCACACATACTAAAAATATAAATAGGTACAAATGAGATGTGATCTAGAGACTACAACATAAGGCAGATAATCAGAGAGCAAGTATTGTATTTCTAGTTTTGCTGTTGGCTTGCTTAATGACTGGCATACATAAAACAGTTTTAAAGTTTGAATTTATTCCTCTTTAAAAAAGGCAGATGTTACTTAACTATTTCACATAAGTAATGACAGTCTTAATTTTTAAACTGTATGTAAAGCTCTGAGAGTAAAATTAATTCAGCACAAGACTACCCCTCACTATTAAATCAGCTACACAAGAAATCAATGCACTTTCACTTGGGGAAGTGTTCTGTATAAACTATAATGCCTTGGAACCACATACTACAGTTTGAAGTAACTTACAGCTTGAAGTTTTTCGGACTGTTTTTTTCTTTTGGTAGATGAGTAACATATGGAGGACAATAACAATAGGAGAAATCAAGACTTACTGAAGCATACAAGTTACATGCAAAGGTAACAAAGCACATTAGGATTTGATACTGTTAAAAATCTAGACTTACCCAGTTATTTTAAATGGGCAATTTGGTTTAATTTGCTTGTATAATTGCACAGAGTCAGGTAAAATATTAAAAATATTAAACTTCTGACAGTGGTTAAATCTTGACACTTTTTTTACATGTTGAAAAGCTTTGTAAAGAACTATAAAAAGCTGCTTGGAGTAGCCATCTTCACAATTAGTCCATATACCACTCAGCCTAAGCCTTGGTGTCCAATCACGGCAAATGTAACACTGATAGCCCAATTTCTTAGAACATTTAAAAAACATCCTTAGGTTGAATTATTTTTGCTGCAGTGGAGATAGGGGTGGTTGGTCAGCCCTGAAGATGTGAGGGAGACTGTAAGTGGTGTTTGCAGATACAGAACTGTAATACACTGAGGTAGCATACTCTCCTGGTAAGGGCAGCTGTTATTCAAGAATGTATGCTGTAGCTTCAGTGATACAACTGTAGCTACCACTGAAAGGGACTGGTACTTGCATTTCATAACCACGATGGCACCAAAAGTTGTTACTTGTTTAGTCAGCAGCCTGAGGAACAGCACTAGAAAGAATATGGTTATAAGGAGTGGTTAAATGGCCACATTATTCCTTTTCAGATACAATTTACATGCATTTCAACAATTAAAAAAGCAAACTGTTTACCTTGACCAACAGCAGAGTGTATTTTTTCCACATCAAATTTAATCTTTGACCTTCCAGGTGTACTCAACATTTTTTCCCAAATCAAAGTTACATCTTTTAAGCATGGTGTGATTTCTTCATAGTCAAGTTTCAGGCGTCTGTTCTGCAAATTGTTTTCAGATGCTAAAAAGTGATATAATGAATATAGCAGTTAATATTGTTTACTACTTGTAAAATGGATTAATTTAACTTACAACTCTCTTGTTATCCACCTGAAACATTTTGTATCTAAAATTTCATGATTCTGGGGTTGGATATGTGCAATATTAATTGTGTTTGGCCAGTTAAATTGAATTCTCTACTCCTAATCAACTCCTAAATATGAAGAAACATGAGACATGATGACTAATGAAATAAACATAAGGCTTTCATAACAGGAATTTTCATTTTCCCAGCTCTTCAGTGCAGAAGACTTTCAGCAAATGAAAACACAAAACCCATTTAGTAATCTATTTGTTATGTATACAGCCCCGTAACAATAGTAACAAAGTAAAAACAATAGCTGGGAAAGCATTAAAAAACCACGGCAGAAATGAAAATGATTCTGTAGCTGACTGTAATTCCAAAGCTTAGAAGTAGAGCAAGAATTTCAAAGGGAGTCTAGGTAAAGCTTTTAAAATTTTTTTCTGTGGGGGCATTTTTGTACTATAATGTGCCTGGAAAACAGGATTTATAAATGTTAATCATGTAAACTAAATAATTCAGCATGTTTTGCAACACTGGATGGATCTCTGCAGGTAATAAAACTAAAAAAAACTAGAAGAGGAGAGAAAGAAGGGTCAGTCATCTATTCCTAAAAGGATGACATGATGAAAGAAAATGCTATATGGAAACAAAGATGAAGCTACAAAGACAGCATTGAGGAGAGATAAAAAGTGGGAAATCTATGGAGAAATTAACAAAATGGGTTTCAAATTTTTCACTAGGATGTAAAGTGGCTGTGTAGTCACTGCAAATGAAGCAGAGCAAAAGTTCAAAATACATAAAAGTCTGGAAAGTATCTATAGTATTAAACAAAAATTAAAAGGCAATTCTCCTAAAAATAACATGATTTAAAACTATGTTTATGAAATAGTGTATCATGAAGTGACCACGTTTTTTAATTCATTTGCCCTAATGTATTTACAGTACTTCTGTGTTGTGATGATGCATTACTGTAATGGTAAGAAGATACTCTTATTTTGAGAACATTCTGCCATATATCATAAGCCTGCTGCTACTTTTGAGGATTTCACAGTATGCTGTGAAATACATAGAATTACTCTTATCCATTTCAGTCTTGAGAAAATCTATGTTAAAATGTTATTATATTATCTTTTAATAATTTAACTCTCCATTATTTGTACTTTCAACTCCTTTATATAAATTTAATAAACAGCTAAAAATTGCCTGACATTTACATTGCATAATGACACTATCAACACATTAAACTCAACTTCTTCTGAGATATGTATCTGCAATTCAGGTTTTTTAGATTATTGAATTCTGAGATCCACAAAGGGTTATCTTGTCCTGTACTCCCACTGATTACATAAGCATCTAGATTTTAAAAACTGAAAAGAACTGTTTATATCTGGCAAGTTGCTTTCACATGTGAATTACTTCACTCAATGAGGTTATTCACATGAATTGTGAGGTTACCTGTTTGCACAATTTGGACCTCAGAATATTTAATTTTTAATTCAGTAATTAACTACAGATACATGAAATACATGCAGTCACAGTTTTATTATAACTGTGTGTTCACATTAAAAGAAATTCAGTCTATCTAAACTATTTGTCAGCTTCTTCATATTTTTGTCAGTTCAAAACCAACACATTTATAAATGAGAATACTAAAAACCTTAAAACACAGATGGTATTGTAGAATATAACTAAAAAAAAGGGCATTTAAATTTCAGGTTATAGGAAAACAAACTTGGATAAATCTTTTAATATTTTAATCTTCTGCAAACAAATGTTTTCTGGTACTTGGCAACTTTTCAGACTTTTTTTGCTTTATTCAGTCTTCTTATGCTATGTGCAAAAATGTGACTTGTGAGGACTGAGGTGAGAATATACCTTTATCAACAAGTTTTTTAGATACTGACACTACCCAATATCACACATAAGCACTACTAGTAAAGATGCTGTGCTCACTGCAGCAGTCATCTGTTGTATTCTGCATTCTGTATTGTCTCACCATCTGAGCTCTTCATGCAGCAACTACCTAGGACAACTTCCTCACCCCACAGGGCATACAGCACAGCTGGGCCATCAGTTCTGCCAACACCCACCTCATTCATTCACTAACTGGCTTTTTAAACATGTTCATCTTAACATATGTGCGATGGTTTTGCAATTTTTTCTTTTGGGCAGACAAAACTGGAGTATCTAGTTAAACTTGCTAAAATGTGTATGGATATGAATGACCTGCACTTGCCAAAAATTTGACTGCAGGCTGTAAATTCAGATAATTTGAATACAAGAGAATTTTTTTAAAAATCAGGAATATAAATACACAAAACTGAGAAAATTTATTTTCAAATGCCATAAAAAAGTTACAGAAGCTCTTTTACAATAGCACTATTCTAAGCTTGAAGAGACTGTATAAACATTTCTCTTAGCACCTCTTCAGATTGCCTCAGCCTCTGGCCAAGGACACTCTATATCTGCTATCCATTGTCATATTTTATTTTACTGGTTTAGCTAGTACATTGCTGGGAACATGCTTGTCACCTGTGGGGTTCTTAGGAAACTCGGGTGCCAGGTGTTCTTTCTTCAGTGGGGTTGAAATAGGAGAGCTACACTGCTGGGAGCAAACAGCCTACAGGTGGGCCAAGTGCTTTGACAGGCCATATCCAGTATCCCAGAGCTGTTGTGTCTTTCCAGCCATGTGTCTTAGCCAGAGTTTAAAGAAGGATTTAATGTTTGGTGTAATGAACTTTTCATACAGCTGGGCCCTCTCTCTACACACTTCTTGGAAGTCTGTCCTTCCTCAAGTTGAGAAAGAAATATTGCCATTTTCATGCCAGGTACCACCCCTTTTGAAGGTTCAGGTGCCTACTCCCTTCCTGAACATCTAAAATCACCCAGATAAAAATTTCTGTCCTTATCACTCATATCTTCAAAGGAGCAGCTCTCAAAGGCAATCACTTGTGATTCTGCATATATCTAATCTTTATGTGTAAAAATTGCCACCAAAATGGATTTGTTGCAGCTAAGTCATTCACAGAAAAATTGTGGTTAACAACAACTGCAAATTGCAAAGTTTCTCAAGTCCCTTTGGACTGATCTAAGTCATTACCACTCTGCAGAAACTTTGCTGTACAGCGTGGGTACTACTGCAGGAACCCATAGTTTCGAGTCCACAACAACCTCTTTAAGAACTTCCTTTGAGCCTCAAGACTGGCTAAACACAACATTGCAATGACCAATACTCAGACAAGGACCTGTGGATATGAATGTAGAAAATAATTCAGTTCATGATACTGATCATGCTGAATTCCTTGTGAGAGTTTCTAGACACTAGTCAAAAAACCCCAGTGACGGTAAAAAGAGAGTGTCCCTTCAGATCAAGTAAACTAATAATAAGGTGAAGCAATAAAAAAATTATCATACATTTCCACCTACACTAAGGAGTGCTGAGGGAGATATTGCTAATCTGATTTACCTGTGGGCTCCTAGAAAGTTTCATTAAGGTTTGGTGCATTCCACTACCAAGGCCACAGAGAAAACCAAAAGGTGAGTCTGTATTGCAGTAGGATGTAGCTCACCAACCTTGTAACTTCTGGTTTTCTTTCTCCATTCTGAGGAGCAGTATCTGCTGAATAATGGCTTTCTTCCACAGTTCACGAAGCTCATGGGGTGTTCGTTTCCGTTCTTCTTTCACGGGCCCAAAGGGGCCATCTTCACACACTGGTTCCAATGGGGATCTGGGTGGAAGATCTCCCAATTCACAGTAATCTTTAAAAAAGAGAAGTTGCTGTTAACTACTTGGATGTCATGAAGAAGTGAATGAAGGGACAGTGAAGGGACTGCACATATATAGATACACACATCTACATATATGCACTAAATCATGTATCCATCTACATTTAGATAGATAAATAGGTAAGAAGTAGCAATATGAAGCAAAGTTTCCCAAATGACAGTTTCAAACAGACTTAAAAGCTGCTTCAGAATAAGAATCATACAGGCTAAAGAATATTTTTTTCTCTAAAATATTTTTTTCTATAACCTGGTAAAAACATTGTACCACACACCAAGATCATATCTTGCTAATTACAACTTTACATGCAGAGAACTGAAAGGAAAAAGCAAGTTTGAGAAATTACAAAAACAATAACCTACAGCTGAAATGTGGCATGACTCAAATAGCAGATATAATCAAATAGAGCACCCACATAATTTAAAGAATAATCTCTAAAGCGTGTTTAACAAAGAAAACGCCCTTAGCTGCACAAACACACCACCACCTAAGGCCATACAATGGGATGATTACCAGCTCTTAAAGTAAATAGGTGGAAAGAGAGACAGGCACTTAAGACATGCTTTTTTCACTTCTCATTTTTAACCATATTATAGCCTTCTGCACTTCTTCTTTTGGCTTCAGATGGCCTACCACAAAATATATAACTTTGTCAAGCATGCAAGGCATTTCTAGGACTAAAAACATTACAAAAGATAGTGAACATTAAATAAATCTCAGGCAAATTGAAAAATCATTTATTTTAGGGAAAGGGTATATAACATTGTTTTAAATCAAGTAATCAATGTAAGAAGCACAAGCTTTTATACTTTTTCTTAATACCTGCTGCAGTATTACTTAATTTTATTGTTTTATATAACTTCCCTGGAGGCTCAGGAGTTTTTGACACAACCTGTATCTAGAAGAAAAATTACTCAATTCACCAACTTTAAAATGAGTAGTCTAAGCAACCAATCTCTTCCTACCAAATCTTAAACAGAAGGCCATAGCAACAGCACTTCTTCACCCAACCAGAATGGCTATGAAATGGCTCCCTGAGCTATACATGCTTTAAAGTTAGTGCAACAAAATCCATCCACAAACTCGCCAGCCAAGGACAAGTACATCTATGTGTGCTATTTCAAACAGCTCCTGCAGAAGGAGCATTCCTGAAGCAATTATTCTGAAGGCAGCTCAGTGTCCATGTCTTTATCATTGCCTAGCATGGTGGCAAAGGTTTTGAATTAAACACACACACATCATCCCAGTTCTTCAAAACTAACAAAATAAAGGCTTTTCCCCCTTCAAGTTCTGCCCAGATTGTCACTCTGCTTTCACTCACGCAGTTCATATGCAGCTCTCCTTTCCTTGTTTGTTTGAAGGTACTCAAACAACTGAGCTCAAATGACTAAGAATGGAAATGTTCACAGCTGTTCACTTCTGCTTTTCTAAGTCTTGCCACTGTCAATCTTCCCCTCTCAAAGAGTCAGAGAGAAGCAGAGTGGCTCCAAATACCACCCGTTTCCTTATACAATATTTATTTTCTTGCCACCACAAAGTCTAGGGTTAAAATACATGTATAAAAAAGAGTGTAACATTTTCAGGTAGCAGAACAATTTAAATCTTTACAACTTTACACTCTGGATATAGATGTAGATACCCACATATCTGGTGTCTACAGCATTTCAAAGAACAATGAACATCATGGGAATGAGAATTAGGCAAAGGTCAAATATTTGACAATTTAATGGCAATCACCATCTTTGCAAAGAAAACAGGAAAACTGACAGGTGCACTCAAAAATACAGCTGGTTATGAAAAGTATCAATACAATGAAGAGACTATAATATTCATTAAAAGAAACTGGGAAACATTAATCATTTTTCTTTACAGGTAAATGGAAAGACATCAATGGGCTAAGATCTGCATTTATGAAAGAGCTACAGGCAAATGTCAGCACATACAGAAGATACACACACTCAATAATTTTCAACTTATATTGACCATGAAAGGAAAATTATTTTTATTTGATTGCTGGTTTTGATGCAATTGTAGGTTTTGATGCACATACTATGTTGTCAACAATGTTCTCTACATTTTTATGTAGAATTTCTAAAAATAGTACCTTTGATCACAATTTTCCTTAGTGCATATTAAGAAATATTTAAAGGGAAATGCTTTTAAGGATAATGCTAGTAGAATTCATATATTTTTTGAATAAAATAATAAAGAAATAAAAAGACAATCATCAAGGGAAGTTGTTAATTTCCTCTAAGGCTGCATACAATAATGACACCATAAGAAAGAGGAATCAACAGAAATGCTCACCATACACCAATGCAAAAAAATAAAAGTGATCTAGATAGGAAACCCCTTATATACTGTACACTGTCTGTGGTCTGTTCACATCTTACATTCACGTTCCATTCTTACAGCATCCAATATGGAAGGCAGGCACATCTTGGGGGAAACAAGTCTCTTCTACACATCATCCCAGTAGTTTATGCATCTCTTAGCGTCAGATGTGTATTGTGATTTTATGTATGCATATATGCACTAATATGTTAGAAAATAATAGATTATGTCCAGACACAGTCTATGGCTACCTACTTGCTAAAAAAGCCCTAAACCCAAAAAAACCCAGGCTGGCAAAACACATTGCATTCATAAAGCAAGAATGAACACACTCAACATCTAGAATATTCCAGTCTTTAATTTACACATCCCACTTCCCCAGGTCAAATTTCAGGGATTGGTCTTCAAGTACCAAATTCACAAGTTTATCAGAGACATTACTTACTTGTCGTTTTCCAGTGGTCAAACTGTGACAACACCTGAACTGCTGCAAAGCATTCATTACTGAAGACCACAGTCCTGCTTCCATTTAGGATGAAAATTTCCCATCTCTTGCTGACTAATCTGATAAAATCAGTATTCATTGAAAGAAATAATGCTTAAGGCTATAAAAGCAAAACAAGAGGTTACAAAATTCTATAAGCTGAACAATTATGATTATCAACCCTACCTCTAATGCTTCTGTGAAGAATCCTAGGATTGATTTTGCCTTCCAAACAGCAACTCCTTTTCTATTTTTTCTTTTGCTTCTTATCACTTGAGGAGATTTAACAGAAAGTCTAAAGTCTACTCTGATAAAGTGCAAGACATTCAAAAGCTGCCTTCCTTCCTGTCTGCATGCTGGCAAGATTTATAGAACGCAAAATAAACCTGTTTAACTGCTCTAGTGGCCTGTCAGAAGTCTGCGGAGTTACATCAGCTGTTTGGCTGCTAAAGGAGGGAGGAAGGTGGGACGTGAAGGTAATCCCTCAAAGCAAAATAAAAAACTGAGACATTTGGTACGTCAGCACTAACCCATGTCCCTGAACATACAAGGTGATAGAGAGACGTATCACCCAGCTTCCAGATCCAGAACAGACAAGAGCAGAGCTACTGTGACAAGGAACTGAGTATTGCACACACACCGGGGATCTGGAGGACAGCAGAGAAAGTAAAGATAAACAGTGGAGCAATTCAACTGCATCTAACTGGGAGCTCACATTCCACTGAGCCAAACTGCCATGTCTTAACATCCAAGCAATGTGTACCCTTCAGAACTTTTATGAGATTAGTAGGTGCACTTAAGCGGGATCTGAATGCTTCAGCACACACTGAAAGACTGCTTCCCTGTTCATCTGCCAACTTAGTCAGCTTTTGTTGACTCCTATTCCACGTTTGACCTGACCCTAACTCCTTTCAAATATATTGCTTCCTTTGCTTCCATATAAAATTCCATATAAAACCTCCATACATGCTACTCCTACAAGCCTATTGCACTTCTATTGCACTTCTGTTTTCTAAGGTTGAGGACTTGGCAATATTAGTATATTTGATCAATAAAATTTTTATGGTAATTTTCCATCTGAGGTTCATACTTGGACTGCACTTCAGAACTATTCTTCAGCACAATGGAATTTTATAAGTGTGTGGGTCAAAACCAAGGATTCCCCAAGAAACTGCACTTCACTGGGAAAGCACCATCTTCCCTGGGCTTGTGAGAACTTCTTAAAGGTACTGAATTTCAGATGACACTTCTCATGAACCAGATGGAAATGTTGCTCAAATATTCTAGCACATCTATATGTATTTTAAAAGCACTCCTCTTATGCTTCCAACACTTATAATACCCAACAAAGGACAAGGCCAGTAGGAACAATGGACTGAGATGGAATTTGTACAGCTCATCTATTCATTTATACTTAGCTGTTGGCTTCACATGGCAGTGCTTCAACCCTAAGGTACAGAGTATCCCTACAGTCCAGAAGGATCAACAGATGCATTACACAAAACTCTTAAATGCAAAGATGACACAAAAAACAAAGTACAAAAGATTAAGAAAGAAGTATCATGATATATTACTATCAGGGCCCACACTAAAGAAAGTCTGTACATGGAAAGATGGTGAATGACTTCAGTAGTAATTAAAACAGACAATATCTGATCAGAAATTACATGAACAGGGATATTTCATTTGTAAATCACTAAGAAAAAATTAGTTTATCAAATATTTTCCTGATCAATCCACCTCAGTATTAAACAAGGTTTAAGTGACGAACCAACCTAAAAGCCTATACTTAAAAAACGTTCTTTCAGATTCACTTAGTCTAACCAACCTCAACTGCCAAAATCAAGACAAGATTCATCTTTGATTAGAAATTCCAATGCTTCAAGTAGAAAGGAAGGGCTGATAGGGAGGAGGTTCAATAATAATGCATTAACACCATCCTCACTATGGAATTGTGGCTCTCTCTACATGCACGGTTTACTAGTCACATCCACTCTCTGGGGTTAAAAAGTCAGACAAGATATGGTAAAAATGTGGACAGAAGAATCTATTAAGCCTTTTATTTACTATATTATGTTACTTTGTTGCATTTTAAACTTTACAAAATTCAGCTTGGCAAACAAACAAGAGAATTTCACATCATTTAAGATTCAATTG